GAAATTGGACCACATCCCAAAATATTTTTAAAACTCATACCACATGCAATATCAAACTAGGAAAAGAATGCCATTGACAGTGATAAAATGTCTTTTCATACAATTTTTCTGTATGACAGGCTTTTTCCTCTGTACTATCTGTTCACCCTTCTAAATTGTTCACCTAGTTGGCGAGCACCAAATTTTGTGTCTATAACAGTAGCTACCTGGATCAAGTCCTGTTTTCCCAGTGCAAAGCTGTGACTAAAAGAGCTAATGCAATACTTGGATGTATAAACAGGGGAATCTCAAGTAGGAATCAAGAGGTTCTTTTACCTCTTTATTTGGCACTGGTGTAAAACCAGTTCTGCTGTCAAAAATTCAAGAAGGATGTTGATAAATTGTGGCAGTTCAGAGAAGAGCCACAAGAATGATTAAAGGATTGGAAAATATACCTGATAAAGACAGACTCCAGGGTCCAGATCCACAAAGGGCCTTAAGCTGAGCATTGCACTGTCTGATTTGAAGGTGCCTAGAAAATTACTGAAATAATGGGATCCACAAAGCCTGAGTTGGGCACGTAGGCTCCCTACACAATGAAGGGGACAGGAGAAATAGGTGCCTGAGAAGGCAATCTACAAAAGCCAGTACCCAAGGAGGCAATCTGCCTAAGCTAGCCCCTGGGGAGATATCTTACAAGAGGGGTGGGTCCTAAATCATACCTGTCTCTCAAAGATGGTCATGGCTGCAGGGAGGTCCATCTCTGCTACTGATCCAAAACCAGAAACCCTTGAGTCACAGGTGCCTAACTCATTCTCACTAGAAACAGCTTAGGTACTGACCTCATTCTACACAAAATGGCCAGAGGAGGAGTAGGTTGTGGTGCCTACCTTATAACATTTAGCCCAGTGGTTAGAGCACTCAATATGAGATTAGGCCAGAGTGATTCTACAGCCTGGTGGCTAGGGGACCCACCTAGTAGGTGGGAGGTCAGGGTCTAATCCCCCTTCCCTAATTAATTATCACTTAATTATTTATCCAAAGTGGAACAGCTTCAACAGGCGAGAGACCCACATGAAAATATCCCATAGTTCAGTAGTTAGAGCATTCTTCTGGAAGTGGGAAATCCCTGTTAAAATCAGACACAGGGCTGTATTGGACCTGGGTCTCTCTCATCCCAGGTGTGTGCTAAACCATGGGCTAAAAGTAATAAGGTGGGTGGTACCGTGTTGCCTCCTCCAGACAGATTTTAAATGGGGACCCAATTTGGTAGGCATACTCAGAGGCTACTTACCAGATCAAGATCTATGGGTCAGATAGATGTTCCTCTGCTTATCGGGCTTGAGGCTATCACAGGGCCTTAGGTGGGAGGTAGGCATCTGGATGCCTAGCGTGAGGCAGCAGTGCACATGTCCAGAGGCAGAAACTTAGGTGCCTAGGGCACTTTCACAGCAAAAACTCAGGCAGCAAATAAATTTTAGGTGCCTACAGAGGTAGGCACCAGCCAAGAGTTTTGTGGATTGCACAATGGTGCTTAAAACTGGGATTTAGGCACCTAAATACCTTTGTGGATCTAGGCCTAGGAGTTCAATCTAATTAACCTAATAAAGAGAATATTATGGGGTAACTTGGTCATAGTTTATAAGTACCTGCATGGGGGGACAAACTCTGTAAAAGTGTTCCTCAATCTAGCAGACAAAGGACTGGTTAGATCCAACAGCTGGAAGTTGAAACTAAATTAATTTAGACAAAATAAGGTGCAAATTTTTAATGAGGATAATTAACAATTGGAATAAATTACCAAAGGTTGTGGTAGATTCCACCCCCCATCACTGGGGATTTTTTTTTTTTTTAAATCTAGATTGGATTTTTTTCCAGAAGAGAATACTCTAGTTCAAAAAAGAATTAATTCAAGACAGTCCTATGGCCTGTGATTATGTAGGAAGTCACGGCAGATCACAATGGCTTCTAGCCTTATAATCAATAAGTTCTTTAAAATAGCTGGATCTCCCATGCAGAATTATAATCTACAGTTATTCAGAGTTTAAACAATCTAATTTTTAGTTGTTTCAACCATTTACTAATGAAATATCATCCAGATGCATGGATGGAAAAACAAGATAATGCCAGGAACTTCCTCTTCACACACAACTTGGTATAAATGTGTAAGAAGCAAGAAATGCAGAAGGACTTTAAAAATGACATTGAGAGAAATTTAAGGATTAATTCAGATGAAGATAAATATCTCTTCCCCCTTAACCAGAAAATATTGTATTAGACAAAACTGATATTGCCTCAATCTAGTGTTCAAGAGCTAGTTTATTGACCTTGGCCCTAAAAGAATACCTGAAGGGGGTCATCTATGCCAAACAGAGTGCCCTTCTCTTCCCCGCTCCTTCTCCCCCCCCCATTCATCTTTTCTCTCCAAGTACCTAGATAGTTGGGTGATACAATATGATTATCATGGCAACTTCAGTAAGGATGTACCCTGTCTACATTCAAGAATTCCTCTCTATGCCTCATTTCAATAGACCTCTCACTTTTTAGGGATTCTGCCATCCTGCTTTAGCAGGCTCTTCACTGTATTGGCTTCTACATTGAGGAACTAATCTTCCTTGATACCCATCTCAGTCCATCCCACCCTACTTTCAAGAAACCCCTGAAATTGCTTTTCTTTTCCAAATGCATGTTTTATTCTGACTGTCGGCCCTTGTGTGTAGAACCTCCTCTTTTCCTCTACTCGTGTTGAAAAACCCAACCCTTACTGTTTTTCATGGTTTTAGTTTTGGGTAAAGTTTTATATGGCATGGCATTTTTTTCTGCTTTTATTATCCTACTGTAAATTGTCTGAAAGGCTTAGCCTAAGGCAGAGGGTGACTGCCCAGCATGAAAGGGCGATAATCAAATACCAATCACCACTATTTGGTTCCTGTTTTATCAAAAAAGATAAATGACATACACATTCCAGCTGACTCAGCTTTTGCACTCTACCAAATATAATTTTTCACTTTTTTGTTTTTCTAAAATGTGTGTAAAAACTGAGGGTGGGGGAGGAACAGGCTATGAGAATTCCACCTCAGGGTATCAATGGGTTATGATTTATTGAACAATAGGTTTTATAAAGGTTTGAGGCCAAATTCAGCATTGGTAAAGCAGGTGCAATTCTATTGACTTCCAGAGGGTTGTCCAATTACATAACCCATGAATTTGGCCCCAATGTATACAGGGCCAATTGGTATGAAGAAAATAGGGGGCAAATTTTAGTCCCTTTGTTGTCAGTGGCAGCTCTGTCAATTACTTCAGTGAGATAAGGATCTGGTCTCTTGCATCACATGAAATACTACATGTAGCAGCATGCCATGGTTGTTGACAGCTTATACAATGTGAATCTATTGGGCCACTTTGTCCATAGGTTTTAAGAGTTAAGTATATCCTGGGGTTTAGTTCTAGTATATAAACACCCCATGTTTGGGGAATACTTGGATCTACAGTTATTGCTTGTGCCCTTCTACATAGTAACGAAAATATTTATGCCACAGATGCAAACCATACAGCAGCTCTTAGTAAAGGCATGTGCATTCCTCAAAACATCCAGATAGGAAAATCAGGCCTTTTTCATCACAACAGCATTAATATGCCATGTCAGAATATTATTGTGCTGACCATTTCAATATTTCTTCCATGTTATCTCATTTCTGCAGCAGAGCAATTTTTGTGTTGCATGCTAATGTTGAAACCTTTGTACAAACAAATGCATGCTATAGCATTTTTAAACTAGGCTTAAATTTCAGCAATGAGAAAAGAAGGGGGACCAGAGAAAATAAAGGAAAACGAAAACAGCAAAACAAGTAAGACCTCACTAGCTAATAGAGGTTAGGCATCTTTTCACAATCGCTGTCTAGACAGTATGAAGTACAAAGTTGCATTGTCTTCTAAAAAGAAAATGTCTTGTGTATTTGAGATAAAGCATTTTACAGCTTATTGTGTTTACATGGTTTCATTTTATAAACAATGTACATTGACCAAACATAAAACAGAATTAAACTACACACTTCAGTAATTTTTAAATCACTTTTACTATAGATTTCAAAAAATAGGGAAAAATATCATGTTTCCAAAAGATTCTACAGATGAAGTTGGTTATTTCTTAGTTACTTGATGATAAAATCACAAGATAAAATGACACCTCACCCCCTGAATACAATGTTGCAGGGCAAGACTATTCATCAGTTCTTATTTTTTTTTTTTTTTTTTTTTTAAGCCATTGTAAGCAACCATCCAAGTCTGCTTTCTTAAATTAAATTCACAATACCCCAAAATACACCCAACAAATACAATGTAATATAACACAATACACATGTCTAGTGATTGCCAAGAGTGTTGTAGTGAGACATTTAAAATAGATAAAAACCTTTCTTCCACGCTATCACAATTTGTGAAACTAGTGTTACCTTTATCAGAAACAGCAACCTCTTCATATTGCTTTCTTATGAGAGGATCACGAAAGTCTATCAGCCAGGCAGATAACTTACCTGTCTACCCTCTTCCACTGACTGGTGATATATAACTTATTTGTTTACTCCCTCGTCTCCCCCAACGCCCCCCCCCCCCCCCCGGGGGGTGGGTGTGTGTGTGTTGGGGCGGAGGGGACGAAGCGCACTAACAGATTCATCTGAAACAGTTCATTTTAGCTATCATTGCAGTATCTAGGTGCATTTTACATGGTATGAATTAGGACCAATTACCCCTTCTTTAGCCCTCCTGGGTATGGCTCAGCCATCAATCAGCCTTGGGTATCACAGGTGCCCCAGGCCGGAAAGAGAAACCTCTAGGTAAGAGAAGCACAGGCTGGAAGTTGCCTCGGCAGAACTATTTCTTCCTTGTTAGAGCAGCTCCCCCACGCCCGCCAGGGGATTCAAACTGTCCGCTTCCCCCCACCTAAGCCCCTCACCTCGCTGCTACCCCCCTGTACCAGCAGGTGGGAAAGGAGGAGCCGCCCAACCCAGCAGCGCTGCCCTTACCTGCGGTCGCGGCTTGAGGCGAGTGGTGCTGCTGCTGAAAGAAGCTGAGCCCTGGAGCTGCCGCTGCGGAGCGAGATTGCATTGAAGCCGAAGCCTAACCCTCCCGGGGGAAGGTCACCAATTAGACAGCCGCCCCCTTCTCTTCCTCCTCCCACTGCCCCGCCGGAGAGCAGAACCCGGCAGCCCAGCCCCCTGGTAGGGCTTATCTACTTTCATTTTACAAGGCGGCTACGCTGAGAAAACGGAAGCCGCGAGTTTTTCTAGATCCTGCGCACAATGCAGCCTCCTCGGCCAAGTTTTCTGCTCTGCCCTTTGGATTTACTCACGAAACACCCGCTTCTTGAGGCTTGTGCAGAGAAATCTTACTGCACAGTGACAGGAGGGAGAACAGGGTTTAATGATTCGGGAGGCGCCTAGTGTCCCTGCATCTTCTCAAACCATTTACCATTTTCCTCCCTCTGTCGCCCATAAAACCAGTCTCTCCAATTATCGTGGAGTTTAGACGTGTCCTTGCTTATAGATCTCCAGTGCTGGCACGTGGAGGATGTCAAAACTGAGTTTGAAATGATATATTGGCCCAAATCAGGAAGTTTGGAAATAGAAGCAAACCCAGATCTGAACTTCTGAGGGGGTTGGAATTCGGTTTTGGGTTTCAAGCCATTATAAACAGGGGCATAAGTCACAAAATTCCGCGCTGGATCCATACTCTCCCCCAAAGTCACTGATTTTTTTTTTTTTTTTGGATCTCGTTGACAATTTGGGATCACCTCTGTTTAAAATGTGAGCTTGTATACCTTGTGAGTGGGCACACCCTTACTCTACTAGGGAGAAGGCTAACAAGTTCCTCTGGGAACAGACTGTACTAACCAGACACCTGTAGGCTTGTGCTGCCTGGAGGGGGAAGCTTAAAAAGGGGGAAAACCCCTTCCCTAGGAAGGTGTGGTGACTACTAGTGAGAAGATGGCTGATTACAAGGATTGAGCAGTAAGGAGAGTCTCTTACCTTACATAAGATCAGCCATACTGGGTTGGACAAAAGATCCATTTAGCCCAGTATCCTGTCTTCTGACCGTGGCCAATGCCAGGTGCCTCAGAGGGAATGAACAGAACAGGTAATCATCAAGTGATCCATCCCCTGTTGCCCATTCCCAGTTTCTGACAAACAGGCTAGGGACACCTTGCTGTCCCTGAGACTGCGTGGATCAGGTACAAAGTTAAGGTAAATAAAAGGAGAGGCAGACTTTAACCTTGATTTAACCCTAGATATAAGTCAAACTCCAAAGGGGTGATGAAAAGACTGGCCACTTTTACTCTGATTCTTTCTTAAGGGAAGGAGTGGGGAAAGGACCTTTTCATTTTTATTTTGTGTGGAGAACCCCTTGTATGCCGCAAATGGGAAGGACTATGTAAGTAGCTCAGATTGTAGTCTCTGAAGGATTGTGAGCCACTCACCATATGCCCCCAATTGTGTGTGTTCAAGATCCTGTTATAGATTTGGGTGGCAGGCAAGGGAAGGAGGAGTGGGGATATTGTACCAAACAAGACCTGTATGCAAGTGATAAGTCTGTCATTGGTCTGCTGTAAAAGTCTATTTATACACTCTAAAGCCACTTCTGCAGCTGCTGTTGAATTTCACCTCCTCAGTTACTGCTTGTAAATGTTGCCATAATGACTCACCACTCCCAGGTCACACAGAGACCAACCACAGGAAGAAGGAACACCTAAAAGCCTGTTCAAGGAAAAACCACCTTTTTTAGATCAGAGGTGGGCAAACTGCAGCCCGCAGGCCACATCGAGCCTGCAGGACCATCCTTCCTGGCCCTTGAGCTTCCGGCTGGCAGGGCCGGCTTTAGGCCAATTCCCCTGAATTGGGCCCCACCCCTAAAAGGGCCCCACGCCCAAGCCCCGGTACGGTGTACTGGCAAGAGCTGGTGTGCTGTATCCGGGTGGCCCGGCTTCCCCAGGGGGCAATTTAAAGGGCCTAGGGCTCCCAGCAGGGGCTGGAGCCCCAGGCCTTTTAAATTGCCACCAGAGCCCCACTGCTGGAGGCCTGGGATAGGGCTGCAGGGCTCTGGGGGCTATTTAAAAAGTCCAGGGCTCCCGTTGCTTCTACCGCCCCAGCCCTTTAAATAGCCGCTGGAGCCCCGCCGCTTCCCCAGGGCTCCTGCAGCTATTTAAAGGGCCGGGGCAGTGGAAGCAGGGGAGCCCCGGGCCCTTTAAATAGCCCCCGAGCCTCAGGCTGCTGCTGCTACCCTGGTGGGGGAGGGGGCACTTACCGTACAGGGTGGGCTGTACCCGCACCCTCTGCCCGCACCAGCCCCGCACCCACTGCCCTGCCTGCAGCCAGCCCTGCACCCCCGGCCCACAGCCAGCCCCTGTCTCGAGCCAGCCCCGCACCCCCTGCCCTGCCTGCAGCCAGCCCCTGTCTCTAGCCAGTCCCGCACCCCCTGCCTGTAGCCAGCCCCCCACCCCCTGCCCTGTCTCCAGCCAACCCCTGCCGCACCCCCCTGACTGAAGCCAGCCAGTCCCGCACTCCTCTGTCTCCAGCCCTGCTAACCCAGGCTGCACCCCCCCTGCGGCCCTGCCTGAAGCCAGGGCACCCCACACACCCCTGTCTCCAGTCAGCCCCGCACCCCTTGCCCTGCCTGCAGCCAGACCCTACCTCCAGTCAGCCCCTGCCCTGCCTCCAGCCAGCCCCATGTCCACTGGTGCCCTGCAGTTCCCAGGGCAGTAACCCTGCACACCTGCTTCAATGAGAGGGGTAGGGAGCAGCTGGGACCCACACATGTGCACACCGGGTGACCAGACAGCAAGTGTGGAAAAAGGGGGTGGGGGGGTAATAGGATCCTATATAAGAGACCCCAAAATCGGGACTGTCCCTATAAAATTGGGACATCTGGTCACCCTAGCACACACCCAGGGAGTGGCGGGGACTCACACATGTGAAACGGAGCTCATTTCTAGTTCAGGCCCATCTTTTTAAAAAAGAACTTTAGGTAGGGTTAAATATCCATATTTTCCTGGACATGTCAGGCTTTTTGGTTCTTAAATCGCTGTCTGGGAGGAATTTTTAAAATTTAAATATTAAAAATTCCTCTTCAGAAAATCCGGACGTATGGTAACCCTATTGGTACAAAAAATACATACTGTGGCACGTCCCTTAAATCAGAACTTTTTATAGGGAACCGGTTGATAAGAAATGAAAGGCTTTTTTTTACTGTGTCATCCCTGCTGGGGCCCCGCCGAAAATGTTCAAATTGGGCCCCGCACTTCCTAAAGCCGGCCCTGTCGGCTGGGGAGGCTAGTCCCCAGTCCCTCCCCCACAGTTTCAACTCACCAAAATGCCAGCTCTCTGGGCAGCAGGGCTGCAAGCTCCTGCCGGGCAGCGTGGCTGGAAGAGCCACCAGCCTGCCCCAGTGCTCTAGATTGCGCAGCAGCATGGCTGGCTCTGGCCAGGTGGTGCAGCTGCCAGTCCTGGTGCTCTGAGCAGCATGGTAAGGGGGTGGGGATAAGGGGCAGGGAATCCTGGGGGTCAGTCAGGAGACAGGGAGCAGGGGGCTGTTGGATAGGCATGGGAGTCCCAGGGGGGCCTGTCAGGGGGCAGGGGTGTGGATAGGGGTCAGGGCAGTCAGGGGACAGGGAGCAGGGGGGTTGGATAGGGGGTGGGGATCCAGGGGGGCAGTTAGGGGGCAGGAAGTGGGAGGGGCAGAGCCCCGTGGCCGTGCACCTGTGTAGTAGCCAGATGGGGGACATACCGCTGATTCCAGGAGCTGTGCGGAGTGGGGCAAGCCCCTGACCCCACCCCCCGGCAGGAGCTTGAGGGCCAGATGCAGCCCCCGGGCCATAGTTTACCCACCCCTGGACTGGAGCCTTTGGTGTGGAACCTTATCAACGGCTTTCTAAAAGTCTATGCTATATCGAATGGATCACCCTTGTCCACATTTGTTGACTTCTCTTTTCCCCCTCCCCACCCCCCGCCCCAAGAATTCTGATTGAGGCATGATTTCCCTTTATAAAAACCATATAGATAAACATAAGAGTCTGAATGTCTGATAATTCCCTTCTTTACTATAGTTTTAACCAATTTGCCTGGTACTGAAGTTAGGCTTACTGTCCTATAATTGCCAGGATCGTCTCTGGAGCCTTTTTTGTAAAAATTGGCATTACAATAGCTATTCTCCAGTCACCCGCTACAGAGGCTGATTTAAGCAATAGATTACATACCACAGTTGTTAATTCTACTATTTCACATTTGAGTTCCTTCAGAACTCTTGGGTGAATACTATGTGATTCTGGTGATTTATCACTGCTTTGATTTATCAATTTGTTCCAAAACCTCTGATACCTCAATTTGGGACATTCCCACACCTGAGTCATGCTTTTTAGGTGAGGAATCTTCGTCGTAGCCTCTGCAGTGAAGACCCATGTGTAAGTGGGGGAATGGTCCCTCTATTGTGGGGAACTTTCCTGGCTGATACTTTTGCTAGTCCACTTCACTGGGGTAGTGTATCTGAGTCCTCACTCCCACCTCCTTTACCCAGAGCCCTGCCTGACCTCAAGGGCTCCCCTTCCAGTCTTCTGTGTGGCAGAGTCCTCCTAACCCCAACAAAGGTGGGCCCAGGATTCCTGGGGAGCTCAACCCCCAGCCTTGTTGTGGTCACTTAGGGCAGGGGCTAGGGTGTCCCCACTTTGGGGTGCTCTCTGCACTGGATGCTTCCCTGACCCACTGATCCTCACATACAGTTCACAGCAAATACAAGTTATTAAACAGCAATCAATTAACCTTTCCCATTTTTTCCTTATTTTTTTTTTTTTAAAGGAAAACACATCACCCCACTCTGTGGCATAGGGACATCACAACCAGTGTCTCTGTAATGTAAGGGAAGTTCAGTCTGTTCCTCACAAGTCCCAGGCCTCTTCTCAGGCCCTGACTGTGTTGCAGGTATGCTGCAGGTCAGACACTTGCTCTGGTGGTGGCCACACACTCTAGGTGGCAGGACCCTTCTACCCAGTGTCACCCCTGCCCCGTCGGGGTTACAATCCCCCTCCAAGTCTGGCCTGCAGGCCCTTT